CAGCAGCAGCAACAACAACAACAGCAACAGCAACAACAACAACAACAACAGCAACAGCAACAAAATCCAAACACTTCTGCATAACAAAATGTAGGCTTTTCTGAAACAAACTTTCTCACCGTCGTCGGGAAGTTGATGTTGGTCCTGACTGCGCGATTGTAGAGCGGACTCACTGGTCGTGAATTCCCGTTTGACATCTTCATGCGCGTGTCTGCCTGCTCCTTCTGTAACTGTCTCAGCGTGTCTAGCTTCGAAACAACAACAAACACACAGTTGAAAAATACATCACACGACACCCGCAAAAGTGACATTATATGTATATTTGAACAATGTACTAGCATTCATATGAAGTATCAGTCTATGTGGTACTGATATACCTTTGTTTTTGTTTTTTTCGAGCAATTAGATCTATTTTTGAGCCTTGCGCACAGGTATTAAAAATATTCAAAACAATCAATGGATTAATTAAAAAAATTAGTATGTGTATTTTCTCAGGATACAGTGGAATGTTGCAGTATATTAATAATATAATTTACTGCATACACGAATATTTTATATTTTGTTCTATATTAACATGTTAATCCGTGTATCGATTTTGTTAATGTGCATGAATAATTAATGATTCAACATTTTAACGTACGCAGAATAAGCAGCCGAGAAAATGACATGCATTATCACGTAATGTCAGGGCGATATTAGGTTAAAAGCATCTTATAAGACATAGTCACAGTTTGCCGTTTTCAGACAATAAAAGTGGGTGGTTGGCGGGTGCTCTGGTGGCGTTTGTTCCTTGTTTCCAATCAAACATCAGCTGTCGTCTTTACCTTTCCTTAGTCTTTTTTTGTGTTTTGTTACTCTCTTGTAACACCTCTAATCCTCGGCAATATAAGACCTAATTGTGTTTCATGTGCCCTAAAACTCTTTCAATACACATTTGAAATACATCACACGACACTCGTTACAGATTCAGAAATAAAAATAAAGGGTGGGTGGTTGGCGGGTGCTGTGGTGTGGTTTGTTCCTTGTTTCCAAAAAAACATCAGCTATCGTCTGTACGTCTCCTTAGTCTTCTTTGTGTTTTGATACTCTTTTGTAACACCTCTAATCTTCGGCACTTTATGACCTAATTGTGTTGCAAATGTCGTAAAACTCTTACTGAAACAAAACAAACAACAACACTACTGCCACTACTACTACTACTGCTACTACTACTACTACTACTACTACTACTACTACTACTACTACTACTACTACTACTACTACTACTATATGCAGCATCCTCAGAGGTGAATATTTCTCAAGTAAAACAGAAGAATAAGAGTTTAAGATGACGTTTGGCCTCTGCTATGGCCGATGGGACTAATAATAAAAATGCTTTGTTCAGGCTACATGAATACAGTCGGAAGACATATATTATTAAAGTATTTTTGGCTGCAATTTTATTTTATTATCATATCATATGCTCAAATGTCGTTATTCATCTCCCTCTTTGTGTTTATCACTTTAGCGGTTATAAATGTACCTTTCATCTCCGTTTTCTCTTTTAATTAATTACTTCAGCGTTGATAACTATAGTCTGTCATCTCCGTATCTGTTCTAATCCGTGTACATTTTGCAATCATTGTCTGACTTCTCCGTGCAGCTGAATGGCGTGAAACTGTTCCCTGGAAGTGGCTACCTGTACCTCGCCTGGGAGGCTCTGGCTGCACAGCACGGCACAACATTTGACAAACTCCCAGTCATCATGGAGAATGTGTCAATCTTTCGGGCCACCACGTTGCCTGAGAACGGTACGCTTGTAATGCTGCTCATAATTGTAGCTTATGAAGTTACTTCCAAGTGTAGCTTGTGATGTTGCTCTTAAGAGTAACTTATAATATTGCACCAATGCATAGCTTGTGATATTGCTCCGAATTGTGGCTTGTGATATTGCTAAAAATGTAGTTTGTACGGTTGCTCCAGTGTGTAGCTTATGACATTATTACAATATTCATAAGAGTAACTCTTGACTTGCTCCAAAGCATAGCTTGTGACGTTATCGAGAAGTGTAGCTTGTGACATTGTTCAAGAGTGTAGTTTGTGATCTCATAAACTCAGCTTGTCTTGTTGCTTATAAGTAGCGTGTGGCGTTGCTAAAAAAATGTAGTCTGTGAAGTGTGAAGTTGCTCATTAGCTAACCTGTGGTGTAACTCTTCGGTATTTCTGTAGATTCAGCCAGTGACGGCCTCTTTATTTTCGTGTTTTTGTTTGTTTCTGTTGAATTTATTGTTGTTCTGCTCCGGCACAACCCTCCATATCAAGACTTATTCAACTTTAAGACCACATTTCCAATGCTATAAACTTGCTGTTCACATCTAAACGACTTACAACTTTAAGTTATTTACAAATATCAATATTTTGGTCCTGACAACCTTTTAAACTACAACTTACCTTGATGCTGCATACTTAATTTATCGTATTGGCAGCCCCTTACCGAGGTCACTATAAAAAACATGAAGTTTTTTCTCATTTTCTAAAGTATAGATCGATGCGTGTTTGTTAGAAGGGAATTGGGAACAGTAAAAATAGTGTCTACTGTGAGCTACATTCTGAATGCAATTTTGCTGCAATTTTGTACATTGTGCGGTAATTTTAAAGATGCACAAGATGTAGTTGGTAATGGTTACTCAAAGCACCATGACGTTTCGGGAGTTTATGAAAGGGGAAGGAAACAATGAAGGGAAAGTAGTAGATAGATAAAACAGTAGGGGTGAGGGAAAGGGGGGGGGGGAACAAAGAAAGACTAGCTTGGATTTTAGTACTATTCTTCAAGAAGTCACTTAATTTCCTACACAATTGAAACTCTCAAATTTCACACATATTATTATAAGTACTTTGTTTTCTATACACTACAATAATATTTCAAGTAGCCAACAATAATACATTTCAACAAAGTTTATTGTTGATGATGGGAGGAGCAGTGAAAACTATAGTTTGTATTGCCAGTTGTCGCTAATTTTATCTTGTGAATGTAATGCTATTTTTCATGATAATGAAAACGTTCGTGTCCTATCCTTAAGGTAAACTGACGTTCACATGTCGTCTGCTACGCACTGGGGAGTTTGAGGTGACAGAGAACAACGAGCTGGTTGCCACCGGCAAAATCTGTCTAGCTTCTGAGGCACCCAAGATCAAGAATGAGATGAAGGAACTGGACGAGAAAATTGTAAGTGTGTGTTTATACGTCCTGTCGCTCAGTGTGCAACATTCTGTAGTAACACTCTACGATATGTGCCATTTATTTTACATCACCTGAGTTAGATATTTTGATTCTCTTCATGTGATATACTCACACCGCCACTCTTTGCTGACGTAACGGGCACATAATTGCCACAGATTAAGAAACTGCAATGTTTTTAAATTGTTGTACTATGCCCTGAATTTAGAGTTTAAAAAATTGTAGTTTCTTAATCTGTGGCAATGGATGCGTGTGCCAAAGAAATGTTTGTTGAAATTCATATTCTAAATGTAAAAAAAGTTTAGAAGAATAAAACCGGGGTTTTTTCCTATCTCCTGAAAAAAATCACTTTCTGGGCTTAGTACATTGTGACGGCATGCCGACAATATGAAGTTTCACTTTTCTTTAACAGGAGCTTGACGTTGGGCTATCATTTTTGTCAATGGCCTTAGAGGATTTTCAGTGACAAATCTCCTTTATCTGCCACCTTTATCTTGTTCCAGAGCTCGCAACGCAACAGCAAGAAGGCTGACTTTCCTTTGACTCGAGATGAGCTCTACTTGGTTATGTTGATGAAAGGACTGGAGTATGGTGGCCCTTTCCGTGGCATGGCTAGCACAGACAGACAGGGTGAGACATACAAACAAGTGCACATACCTAAGGGCAGACAGGGTGAAAACGTCCACACAGACATGCATACTGACAGACAGGCAAAGTAGGACGTTTTGGTAGACAGACAGACAGACCAGACATTAATACACACATACTTATATATACACAACCAGACGAGCATACTATTTATAAATTGCAAGTGGATATAATGCTTGTCGAAGACATACATGGTGATACACACATACTGTTCATGTTAAGCAAATCCTGTTTTCCTCTTTTTTTCGTCAACCCCCATGTTTCATTCACCCCATAATTCCATCCTCCCATGTAACCCTTCGCTATGCATGTCCTACGTTCCTCCTCAGTGGCCAATATTGACTTCAAAGGTCAGTGGGTTGCCTTCCTGGACTGTTTCCTGCAGTTTGCCGTCTTCAGTCAGAAATCTGAGAAGCATGTGGTACCCTTCGCGTTCGATGCTTTGTATCTGGACGCATCTCACATCGTAGAGCAGCAGCAAGCTGGAGTGGAGACACCAGGTGACACGATAGAATCTGTCCACTGTATTAACCTATCCCTGGCATTTTGTGGTCGTGACAACTGATGTTATTTATATTATGCATGTAACTGCGAGCCTGTTCGTGAGTGCAAACACACTATTGTATTATTAAGTTTGTGTATACAAATGTGTGGGGAGGAGAGGATGCGCCCTCGCGAGAGAGAAAGAGAGAGAGAGAGAGAGAGAGAGAGAGAGAGAGAGAGAGAGAGAGAGAGAGAGAGAGAGAGAGAGCGTGTGTGTGTGTGTGTGCATATGTGTGTGTGTGTGTTTGTGTGTGTATGTGGTGAAACACTTAACCTATGAGCCAGGATCTGGAAAAAAAAGACTTATCTTATCATATCTTATCTTATGAACTAGCCTATTGTTGGCATAAATGTTTCATGTTAAAGGAACTTAACCATTATGCTGGACATGTGTTAGAATATGATAGGAATAATCACTCTCCTTTCTTAGAACAACTAAATGCGCTGGCCCTTGCTGTCAATCCATCTACTCTATATATTTGGATTTGCTTTGACTGTGGAATATCCAATCTAATAATTTTGTTGCTCAAACCTATTTGTCAATATAGTAAATGTGCATCCTAGTATACCCGAGACATAACGGCAGCACACACTAAACAACAGCAGACATTTTTACGTTGAGTGAGCTTTTGATGACTTTTGGGGGGTAATTAGAGAAACGTTGACAATAGAGGCACTGAGGGGAAGGAGGGGTAAAAGATCCTGCGTTTGTGTGTGTGTGTGTGTGTGTGTGTGTGTGTGTGTGTGTGTGTGTGTGTGTATGTGTGTGTGTGTGTGTGTGTGTGTGTGTGTGTGTGTGTGTGTGAGAGAGAGAGAGATATATATATATAGAGAGAGAAAGAAAGAGAGAGAAAAGGCTGATGGAGCGTGGTGACTAGCTGGAGAGTACAGGAATGAAAGGCAATTGGAGCTGAAGAGGCGGGTGGTATAGCGAGGGATGGAAGCGATACAGGAGAAGGGGATGGGGCACGACAAGGAGAAGAAGAAAGTAATTTATAAAAGGGAATGGTAATGGGGTGTTGTGGGTGATAGCAATTGGGTAATCGAATGTCATAACGTCACAACTCCAGTGGTACTGATTTTCTTTAACGCCTGCTGTTGGTTTCAGTGTCCCAGATGCGCTTTGATCTTGACATGGACTATGGCACCAGCGAGGTGTTCAAGTTTATGGGATTTGGCCTGGTGGACACACAACACAGCCCATCCGGGAATCCACTTCTGGAGGAGGTCAGGTAAGAAACCTATGATGGCCACTCAGTTGTATGTAAGAGAAATGATATCTATGGGAAAATGTGACATTGGCGGTCACCACGAAATATTAGATTTTTCAGTCATGATCAGGAGAGTAGGCAACGGAAGTAGCCACGTTCAAGATCATTTTGAGCAATAGAAATGTAGATAATTCTTGCCCGGAATTAGCAGTCACGTTATTGGAGGAAATGATATTGTCTTTGGTGGTGAGCATGGAAAGCATTGTTGTCAGTTGGTTATGTTGAACTGAAGTAAGAGTACTGTCCTTCTATGAGCACAGAGCTACGGAAGAAGTTAGACAAAAACCCAGATGATGATATCGTGGTGCATGATTTTAAACGTTTAAATGATGGCTACTGTCTTAGTCAAGAGTTGAACAAAAATATATTACCCTTTTTCAGATTGTTTGAAGTCTCGGGGGTCGGTACGTCTATGGATGCTGTACAATTATTTTGTTTTGTGTTTGTCTTTCGCAATACATGTTTGCCTATGTGTACTGAAACTGCATCCTCATAATCAAATCTCAATTCATGTCTGAATATTTTGGTGGGTAATACATGCTTGTAGCTTGAAATTTACTGTTTTATGATGAATATGCTAACGTTTACTATTTCAAACGAAACATGCTGCAACAAAGCAGAGAATATTATAAGGACTTGTAATGTACTAGTAGAAGAAATGACATTGAAAGTTTAATCCTCTCGGTCTCTCATGCAGGTTTGTGCCATATCTGGCCAACATCCCCGTGGCTACTGATAAAAGTCTTAGTCAATACGCCACCGACTGCATACAATACACAGTGCATGGTCTGAAGAACGCTCTGAAGAGTGGCAACTTCCCGCTTCTCTCAGGCAACAAAGATGTGAGTTATGATTAGCTTTATCCCCTGTCATTGAAGAAGACACGATGCTGTTGTTTGTGGTGATGGTGCAAAAGCAAATGTTTTTCTGTGAAAATTGTGAAATAGTGAAATGGTGTGGGTTTAACGTTTCTATCAACACGAAAAGGTTATTTAAGAAGCAGGACCTCCAAGTTTCACGTCTATTTCCGAAAGGACCGAGCCAAATGGGAATTTCGTGTAAAGTGTCTCTCCCAAGGACACAACATCGGGCCGAGCTTTACGAGTCCGGTAACCTAACCACTAGGCTTCCGACGCCACTGATTTTCTGTATCTAGTAGCATAATCTAGGATATAAGATAACATCTGATGACAAATGTTCCACATAAATAAGACGGAAAATTACAATGTCTAAGACTAGTTTTTTAAATTTTTTTTATTAGCCCAATCCTGAAAAATAGAAACATCTCAATGAACACCAAAACGAAAGTTCTGAAATGCTATGTTTGGTCAACCCTTCTATATGGCTGTGAATGCTGGACAATCTCTAAAGATAGTGAAAATAAAATAGAAGCAACAGAAATGTGGTTTCTTAGGAGACTGCTAAGAATATCGTGGAAGGAAAAGAAATCAAATGAGGTAGTGCTTGATGAAACCCACGTGGGACGCTCAATGTTAAAAACAATCAGGAAACGACAAATGCAGTTTTCGGGACACATAAATAGACATAAGGGTCTTGAAAATCTAGCTCTCACTGGCAAAATTGAGGGCAAGTGAGGCAGGGGGAGGCCCAGAACAACATATTAGGGAACCTAAACAAATGGGTAACAAGGAAAGATCAGGGAAACGTAGCGTTTTTGAGAGCATCCGAGCAAAGGAATGAATGGAGAACCATGTTTGCCGATGTCTGTCGCAGATCTGGCACTAGATGATGATGATGAGTAGCATAATACATTATTCATGCAAACGTAAATGTCTCTTTAGTTCATTTGCTAGGCCTTTTCATTATTGTATGTGAGATTGAAACAGAACGAAGTGTCACTTTAAAAAAAATTGTTTCTGGTGATGCTTAATACTTTCTGAAATCTGAAGAGAAGAAATTTCTATGTTTCTTCAATTCTATCGTGCAATGTCCAGCAGTTTGTGAAATGCAAATGAAACATGACGACTTACGCAATAAACAACATGTCCCCAGGTTGTCTCTGATGCCCTGAAAGAGTTCCGTTTCACAGCTGCGATGTCTTCTGACGAGGACCTGTCACAGGCCTGCCAGCTTCCCAACTCCGGGTTGGCCAAAACTTTAAAGAAAATTTTCCCTCCAGCCGGAACAAGCACAGACCCTGGAGGTACACCTTTCTCTCTTTTCTCACTATTTTATGTTGTTGGGATTCAATTCAGTGTGCTGTAAAAGGCGCAAAACAACACTCAAAAAATGTGTTCATTGTATATTCCTTCTGTAGGGTGTTAAGATTTAGATTAATAGTAAACTTTTGATGCTTCGGATTTTGTACTATATTTTGGAGACTTCCGTTGGATGTTTATCATCATCATTGCCTTTCTCACCCTGGATCAGGGTATAGTGCTCGGACAAATACTTTCCACCTCTTCCTATCCTGGGCTAGCATCTTGACATTATTCCATGTCTTGCCACTTTTTTGTACACCATTGTCTGTGACTCTTCTCCAGGTTCCATATGGCCTTCCTCTTGATCTTTTACCCAAGGGATTCCAATTCAACACTTTTTTGTAATGCAGATGCCTTTCCAATCCATCGCCACTCCCTTGTACCCACTATACCTCCGACTGGGATGTGTTTTGTTTTTCTTAACACTACCTCGCTGGTAATCCTCTCGGTACATCTGATCCTGAGTAATTTTCCCAGACACTTGTTCATTTGTTCAACAACAACAACAAAAACTTGTGCAGAATCTCTTCTCTCTCCCAAAACGAAACATTAGACGTACTTCAGTAACCTTTTAAGCTTTTGCAGAGTTGGATAGTTGGTCCTTTTCGGGTGATCAGTTCCTCACACCTTTGTACGCCTCTTAACAAGTGCATTATTTGATCCCCATACTATGCCCCCCCCCCGAAAAAGACAACAAGACAACAAAACAAAACAAACAAAAAACTACAGGGGAGCGCTGACTCTTATCGATATATACATTTTGTTAACTTACATGAAAAATTTCAAGAATCTTCAGAGCTTGAAACATAGTGCGGTAGAGATGCTGTTAGGTTTGCTTGCCTTCAGTCACAAATTATTTATCACTTTGTCTAAATCAAATGCCTCTGTGGTCTTGACGTAGACTCTCCTCACTGCGTCATGAGGAAAATTTCACTGGAAATTAGGATGATATGACCCGTAATAATGCAAAGAATGTAAACTGCGTGTTTGCTGTGTGTGAACGATGGCTATAGTGTATGCGTATAAACAAGGGCAAAAACATTTTAAAAATACAAGTATTGTTACGAATTGTTAGTCATAGAACTAAAGCATGATTTGCAATTGAATTGGGATAATTTAATTTGATCTGAAATCTAATAAAAATGAAACGCTAAAGTGCAGTATTGCACAACTTGGCTGTGTTGTCAAAAGGTGTTGTGCAAAACAGAAAGAGCTTGCTTGGCTGAATCCATTCTGTGGTTTCAAATGTATGAACTGTGCGTGCATTGAATATACCGGTAACAAACATTTCCAATTTTCAAAGGGTTTTAATTCTCTGGTAAAAATTACAGTCATAGAAATACTCTGAACATTCCTAAAATCTACAGAAAGGGTATGTTACAGGTGAAACCCCACCCCACCCCCACCCCCAAGTAGCTGTTTCTGTTCTGTGTTCTGTAAGGTTTATTTGAATGCTATTTTAAGTGCAAGGAATGATAACATGATTCAGGTCCCTTAAAGGGCTTCGTAAATTGGGAAACGTGACCTTCTTTTCTCGTTATAAACTCTGTCTACTCACTCTGATTCTTTTACCCCTCGCCTTCTGTGTGCGCTGAACAGCTGTGAATGAGATTCTGACGTCCAACAAAGAAGAACTGAGTCGAGACCGCCTTATAGATAATCTCAGCTCTACAGACATCCTGGATGCTGCGTTGGAAATAGTCAAGTACAACTTCCCTGACGGCAAGCACACCGTGTTAGAAGTGGACGCAGCCAGTAGCAGGATGTACAGGTGCAACACCATAAACAAGGAAATAGAGGGGGGTGGATGAAATGTGAAATGGTATTGGTTTAATGCCCCTTTCAACACTATTAGTTATTTAAGAGGCGGAACATTCAAGTTAAAAATCTTTCTCCGTGAAATGCCTTTCCCAAGGACACAACATCGGATTGACCTTAGGCTCGAACTCCCGAACCCACATTCTCATGATTATGGGTCGGTAGCCTAGCCACTAGGCTGCAGATGTCACAGGAATAATGGGTGATATGGGGAGTATCGGCCATAGGTTTTAAAGAAAAACTGTGTTCTGTGTAATATAATTATTGTAACGGGTTAAGAGCAGAAGTTCTTTGAGGAGTTACTAAAGTTATTCTGTTGTGAACTATGTCAACTTTCGCTTTTTGTTTTAATTTGGTAAAATGTTTAATATGAGTGGATATGTTTTACAATTCACGCAGTTTACAAGGGACATTATTGTGAAAATCTGCCCACATATATATTATGTGTGAACGTTACCCTCACTGGTATCCTTTAATTTGTATTGCCAATGTTCCATCCCTTTCTCGAACGGGTAACAGTTAAGAGTCTTTGGGACAGTAAACCAGTCACTTCTTTAAGGACCATCATGTCGATTTCGGCAAAAGCAGTCCAAATGTACCTCCTGAAAACGTTCCAAATCAGGACTGTTGCATGTAATATTGGTAACTATAAAAACCCAGAAATAGTTGTGGCCATCATGGATCATACATTTGAATCTATAGGAAGTTGTCGTGTATTGACCTGCAGTCACAGAGAGTGTGTTATTTGTTTACATTTTAGTGTTTGCCACAATATGCATAATTCATTTTTTTGAATGACACAATACAACACGGCTCTTTTAGCTCCCCTGGCTTTCTCGTGGAAACCAAATATCATCTAGTAGTAGAAAGCCACTGATTCATAACACTGAATCGCTATATATATGTTTCCACAGACACATTGTGCCACGTCTGCAGGTGCGCAGTGGCATCAACTACACAGCCACAGACAAAGACGATCTGCCCAAGGACTTCAAAGGCCCTGGCATGAAGGCAGTCACGTGGGACCCAGCTAGTGGTGGATCCAGCCCCAGTGTCGAGGCCACGCTGTTGGTGCTCAAGAATGTGCTGCATAAACAGGTACCTAGTACCTGACCTTTTGGGAGGGAAAACAGTTGTTGTGTTCACCTTGTCCATTTTTTCTACATGAAAATAGTGGCTAAAAGAGTTAAGTTTTTATGTTGATGCATTATTGAGAGAAGAGAAAAACATAAAAGAATGATAGCGATATATAGTTTTATATTATGAAGTTGAATACCTCGATTCAGACATTAACTTCCTTTCTATCTTTTGGTCTGCTGACTCTTCACTGTCTTTTATATCCGAGTCAGTGCTATGCTCCCTATATCTCAGACATAAAATTTGAGCTCATCCCCATGCTCCGTACAACTCTGACTCCCGTTTCAGGCCAACGTGGTGAGTGCTTTTACAGATCTGGCCAACAATGTTGTGCCCGGTGGGTTCATCCTGGTGCAAGAAGTAACGCACAACTTCCCGCTCTTTGTAGCCCTGGAGGGTTTACACCAAAACGTTACTCTGCCCACCACCAACGGCACTCGAGAGTACGGGCGCTTCATGACCGACAGGTGAGCAAAACTTAGATCTGGGCATTGCTGGCTAACAGGTTATGTCTTGTGGCTTCTAGAAACAGAACAGCTTATTAAAGATTCGTGCTGCCACAGCACACACTTCGCCGGCAGAGTGTACTCCTTTTTGATGACTTGAAAGAAGCAGTTGCTCAATTTAGTACTGAGTTATCTTTAAAGAATAAGTTGAATTGATTTGAGTTTAGTGAACCTTTTCTTTAAAAAAATGAACGTATAGAAAAACCTGACATCTTTTTGCACAAGTTTATTTGTCAGCACTAGACTTGAAGGATGGTATATTAAATAATATAATTGAAGTTGTTGTTGACTGTGGTAGCATTATTTTTCCTTAGAGGAGTTGTAATTTCAAACGTGAGTGATGTAGCTGATATGTTTTTGTGGCATTTTCTTTACATCGGTGCTAGTGGATGAGGGAGTATGTGTTCAGAAAAATCTTTGACTTGGTAGCACTGATCTTCTAGTTTCTCCTCCACTTGTTAAAAAACTTGGACAGCATAAAATGCACAACTGCTGAGAGTTTTAAGAAAGGATTAACAGTGTTATCTTTCTGCTTCTACCACAGCACCTGGCAGTCGTACTTTGCCAAACGTGATTTTGACCTCGTGTACCGCAAGTCGGACGGCCTGCTGTCCACAATGTATTTGCTGAGGAAGAAGCAAAAGATCCCCATCAACCCAACCTTTATCCACATGGAGGGCCTTGAGTGCTCTTGGCTGGAGGACATACAAAAAGAGATGGCCCTTCTTGAGGCAGAGCCCGCTGACAGTGGCAAAAGACTCTGGCTTGTATCGGAGACGATGAACAGTGGTGTCGTTGGATTTGTGCAGGTGAGAGGGATACTTTTGATATGGTCACTTTAAGACCGTAACGCATATGAGAGGTAAGACTTCACAAAAGACTCGATGTTTATTTATTTTATTAAGCTGGCCTTTGTTTTATTTAATGATATGGTACACAGCAACATACATGTACATGTAATCTAAAATTGGGCAGGAATTTGGAAGGTTTGAAGGATCCGTATACTGAGCTGATGTTCTTCCTTTTTATACTTTCCTAGAGAAACGGAATTTTCCTAGCAGGAACACAGTACAATTGCAATAAATAAAATGATGGCTACTTCGACTTGCATTTCCAAACTTGACTCTGATTGACTAGCGTCTGTGTTGTTCCCTAATTTTTCTTCCATTCACCACGACACCTCTCTGCTCCAACTGGTCATATGTTTTTCGAAGAAAATTCCCCACTCTAC